ACCTGCTCCCCCACACCTCCTGCCCATCCTCGCCCAAGCTCTCCCCCTCCCCTGGGATCCCCCACTGCCCCAAGATCCCCCCTGGAAGCCCGGGGCTATCGAAATCTGCACCTCCGAGCTGGGCCCAATGCCGGTCATGCCGGGAGGGAAGGGGAGGGCCGGGCGGGAGGCAGGTCCTGCGCCGATGTGTGAGCGGAGCTGCGGGTTCTCACCAGATGGGCCACGTGGGCCGCCTTCCCTGTGTCAGGTGTCCCCTCGGGACGGGTGCCCCCGACCGGGGAGGAATTTTGCTCCGCGTCAGCCTGCACACCTAGCTGCGTGGCACGGGTCTCCCAGAGTCCTCTCTGTCCGGGCGGCCCGTGCGACCTCTGCGCATTGGCCAGCTCCGGGAATTCGGTGGACACCTGGGTGACGTGGCCCCTCGCCGGCCTGGCCTGCCACTCGCTGGGTGCGCGGCGGAGCCGCTCGGGATGCGAAGGGCTCTGGGCGCCCTGGGGGTGGCGGTGCCCTGTGGGCCGGGGCTGCTGCCCCGTCGGCTGCCACTGTGCGCTCCCACCCGCCGTGTTCCCCGAAGGGTCCGAGAAGGAACCGAGAGCTGTGTTCCACCTTAGGAGCCCTCTGTGGGGCCCCGAGGTCAGGGGTCACTGGGAAAGAGGCGGGAGGCAGGGGGATGCCGGGCATCAGTGCCAGTGTGAGGTCCTAGCTCGGCGTGGCCGGGTCCCCAGGTCCTCCTCCTCCTTGAAGCAGGCTGAAACCTCCCTCCTCAGCTCTGATAGCGGGTATGGCCCCGCGGGCTCCGCCCCGTGCCAGCCCCGCTCCGCGCTTCCTCTCTGCCCGCCCTGCGCACGCCCTCCTCCTCCTGTGTCCTCCGCGGCCCGTGGACCCCCCCCCCCCAGCCCCCGCCCAGCACAGCCCTGTGTCCGTCCCGCCTGCTCGCTGCCCTGGCTGCCTTGCGCCTCGCTCTGCTTTGCAGTGTTGTGTCGTGAGCCCGGGCCGTGCTGCCGCCAGCGCCGCTCCGCGCGCACGCTGGAGAGGCCCTGACCTCTGGCCTCTGCTTCCCCCAGGGCCTTCGTGTACCTGAGCAACCTGCTGTACCCCGTGCCCCTGGTGCACCGCGTGGCCGTCGTCAGCGAGAAGGGAGAGGTGAAGGGCTTCCTCCGCGTGGCCGTCCAGGCCACTTCAGGTGCGTGTGGGGCGGCCCGGGCGGAGGGCCCCGTGGGCACCACGCAGCGGCCGGAGCGCCACCGGCCGCCTCTGTGTCTCCGGCTCCCGGCCGGCACACGGCTGCTGGCTCCAGGAGAAGCCTCTGCTGCCCAGCTCTGCGCTCCGGCTTTCCAGACGCTCCCGGGTCAGGTCAGCCGGGGTCCTAGGAGACTGTGCGGGCCGAGCCCAGGGCTGTCCGAACCTGCTTCAGTTCGGGGGCCCTCCTCCCTCCCATTGGACAGCCCCAGGTGGACCCAGAGACTGACCGGCTCCAGACCCCAGCCTGGTGCGGAGCGGCCGCTCCCCGGCGGTCTCTGAGCCCAGCACAGGCGTGCAGACTGGGGCCCGGACCGGGGCCACGGCAGCCCTCAGAGCCTCTCTCCAGACTCCCCGGTGTGCCCCGCTTGCGGGCCCCGTGGCCTCCCTGGAGCTGGCCTTCCTCCCCAGAGGGTGTGCACAACCCCCCTCACTGTGGGCCTGCAGAGGTGGACACCCTCTTGCCGCTGAGCCCTCCCCTCACCCCCCGGCCGGGGTCCCGGGACAGGAGAGCCACAGAATGCCTTGGAGTCTGGGTTTGCTTCCCTGTAAATGGCATCCCGTTTGAAGCTCCCTACCCAATAGGAGTGTCGAAAGATTGTTCCAGAACACAGATGTGGGCATGCTTAGCCACCAGAAAGCTGCAGGCCAGAGAGGGCCTAGTGTTCGTGCTCTAATGGCCGTTGCTCCCTTCTCTGCCCTCGGGCCCCCAGCCCCTCCACCGTGGCCTCCTTCTGTCTCCTCCCAGACTAGGTGGGGCTGGGCTGCTCCAGAATGCTCCAGCCACTGAAAGGGTCTCGAGTCACCCCACTTGAAGCCACTTGAAGCCACTTGAAGCCACTTCAGGCAGTTTTGGCTACACCTTTAGGATTCTTTTGTCAAATTCTCACTAGCCTGTAATTTCCGGATACTCTTTACAGCGCTTCCCAGTCATGTCACTGTGGTGCCGAGATCCCCCGGGGACCCTGAATGGGGGAAAGGACAGAGGACGGGGATTCTAAGGACGTCTAGTGCCACAGCCATTCCTCAAGGGGGACCCTGTCCCTGTCATCTTGGAGGGGCTCTGTCCCCCTGAGCTCTTGGCCCTCTGTGACCAGCGGGAGCCCCGATGCAGCCGGTCCCACAGAGAGGCCTGCTTTATAGGCGGACGCTGTGTGTATTTGGGCCACACCTGACATTCCCTGTCTAGTGGCTACAATGGAGAAGGAGCCACTTGGAAAAGCTCCGGTGGTCACAGAAATCACACCTGTCCTGCAAGTGTCAGCTTGCAGGACCCCTCAGCACCGAGTGGAGGGGCCGGCCCCGGGCCCTTGGGCAGCTGGGGTAGAGAGCACAGCAGGGTTTTGCCCCGTCCCCCTGGGGGCCCCAGAAGAAGAGGTCAGAGCCCCTGGATCATCTGAGAGGCCTCCCAGGGGGGTGGCTGGATTTGGGGTTGGGGAGGCTGACGGAAGCCAGGTCTCGGGGGTGTCCCTTGGGAAACAGTGGGAAGGCACAGGACGCCATGAAGGACGGCAAGTGGGGGGGGCGTGTGGGGAGCAGGCGTGGGAGCTGAGCGGGGGCTGCCTGGGGTCTGGGTGGATGATGGTGCAGTCAAAATCAGGAGGACCCCACGGAGGGGTCTTGCCCAGTACGGCTCTGTTGGTGCAGCCGAGTCTGGGGGAGGGCGGGGGTGGCCAGGACTCAGGGAGACGGGCAGTGGTCATAAGGCTGGTTCTGAAAACACGGAGCTGTGGCCCCATCAGAGGAGGCTGTGCTGAGGATATGGCCCCGCCTGGGTCCTCGGACAGCACAGGCGGGCGACCGGTGTGCCTGGGACGCGTCCTCCTTGTTCTGGGGCTGCGGTGGGCGGCACTGGGGATCCCCCCGTGTGGGCCAGAGTCTGTTCCGGCTCCTGTGCCTTCCCCCCACCTGGCGACCCCGCCTGGCCCTGCCACTTCCCCCTGGGGGACGAGCTGGGCCCCGACCGTCTGCTCTGTCCCCATTTCAGCTGATGAAGAGGCCCCCGATTACGGCTCTGGCGTCCGACAGTCAGGAACCGCCAAAATCTCCTTTGATGACCAGCATTTCGAAAAGGTGCCGTGAAGGGTTTGGCCCGGCTGCCCAGCACGAACGCCGGGGGCAGCTGTGCAGCGGGCCCCGGGGCCTCCTGTGTTCCTTCCTCTCCTTCCAAGCCCCAGGCCTCGTGGCATGTCCCCCTGTCTCTCACTGTCTGACTTGCCCTGACCCACCGGGTCTGTCTCTGTCCTCTCCACGGCCTCTCCGGGGTCTGTATCTGCTCTCCCTGCCTGGGCCTCAGCTGCGGGCCGGGACGCAGAGCAGGTGCGCACCCCCAGACGCCGCGATGCCTCCACCCCATCCCCCTTGTCCCCTCCTCGGGCTTGCTCTCCTGGATGCTGTTTCCACCAGCATCTTTGCCCTCTGCCAGTATCCCACTGAGAGCTAGAGGGCCCCTCCTCACTGTCTCGGCATCAGGTGCCGGGCTGCCCCCGGCCCGGTCCTCCCTCAGAGGAAAGTGCTTTCCACCTGGGCTCCCCTTTCTACTCTCAGGCCAGAGGGTGGAGGAGGGGGAGGGTCCTGCTCAGGGCCCCAGACCGGGCTTAGCTCACAGGCCAGGAGGCTCCTTCCCTCTCCTTCTTTGGCTCTTTCCTAACCTGCCCCCACCTGGCCACCCGTCACCCCGCCTGAACTGCCCCCCCGCTTTCCCACTGCAGCCCACACAGGCCACGGCAGCCTAGGAGAGGCCGAGGGAGGTGGGCGCCCGTCTAGGCGGGGGCAGGTCTGCAACGCGGGTCCACAAAGGCCCCGACCCGACTCCGGGGCCCTCAGTGGGCCAGAGTGGCCTCACCTGGAGCCGGCTCCCCCTGACTCTGGTCCCCAACCCACTCAGTTCCAGTCCGAGTCCTGCCCCGTGGTGGGGATGTCCCGCTCCGGGACCTCGCAGGAGGAGCTGCGCATCGTGGAAGGTCAGGGCCAGGGTGCGGAGGCAGGGCCCTCGGCCGATGAGGTCAACAACAACACCTGCTCAGGTAGGTTGCCACACCTGCCCCGGGGCCTGGGGCACTGGGACACGGCCCCCGCCCCGCTGTGGCCGGGGAGGCTGTGAGACGTTTCCACGAGAGGACACCGCGTGGGCTCCCCGCCTGACGCCGGGCTCCAGGCCTCTGGGGTGCTGCCACGTTGCTCTGCCCTCGGCCCCCTGCAGCCGTGCCTCCAGAAGGCCTCCTCCTAGACAGCCCTGAGAAAGGCGCCCTGGACGGGCCCCTGGACGCCGCCCTGGACCACCTGCGCTTGGGCAGCACCTTCACCTTCCGTGTGACAGTCCTGCAGGCGTCCAGCATCTCTGCCGAATACGCGGACATCTTCTGCCAGTTCAAGTGAGCCCCGGCACCCCCTGCTGGCTGGGGACCAGGGCGGGCACCTGGCACCCCGGTGACCCCCACCAGTCCCCGGGAATGGGTCCCCGTCCCGTCTCCTGCACCCAGCCGAGCATCTCCTCTAACTCTGCAGCTTCATCCATCGCCACGACGAGGCCTTCTCCACGGAGCCCCTCAAGAACACGGGGAGGGGCCCCCCGCTGGGCTTCTACCACGTCCAGAACGTACGTCCTGAGCGCCCCCGCCTCCGCCCCCCTCCCGGGTCTCTGGCTTTGCGGGGCCTCCCCGGAGCTGAGCCGAGCTGTGGTCACTCTCCGTCATACCGTCTCCCTGTCCTGAGCCCCAGCCGTGAGCTGGCGGTGCCCGGGTGTGAGGGCACGGGGCCTCTGGTGCCAGGCAGGGCCGTGGAGGCTGCTGCTGGACAGTCGGGGCCTCGGTGGGCTGCTACCTGGGGGTAGGGGCAACCCGGGGAGCAGATAGGAGCACGGGGAGTCCGGGGTACCCCATGTGGCGCCGGCCTGCTGCCGGGGAAGAAGAGAGAGAGGCAGGGCACACCGAGGGCATCGGAGAGGTCGGGGAAGCCGCAGGTGGGGCACGTCCCAAGCTTGGCTGTGGGAAGAGCGGGACTCGGACTGGAGTGGCTCCGTGAGGCAGGAGAATGTGGCCGGCCAGCCAGGTAGCGGGGGGAGATGCGCTCCACTTGGCCATAATGAATGCCGCCGGGGGGCAAGGCCTCGGGTGCCCGCCGAGGAGCGTGGGATTTGACCCTAAGCGGTGTGGCCTGTGGGTGCGGGCTGTGTGGCCCGAGCAGTCACAGGCCCCGCACTCAGAAGGGCCCCACGGACCGGCCCGTGCCGACGCTCAGGCAGCAGGGAGCTAGTGATTTCTCAGCCAGGGAGGCCGGGCCAGGGGTGAGGGTGTGCAGCCTCCATTCCTGGGCTCTGGAGCAAAGCCCGCACCCCAGCGGCCTTGACAACCGAGTTACTGCCTCTCGGCCTTGGAGGCAGGAAGCCCGAGATGCAAGTGTGGGTCGGGTCGTTCCTTCGGTGACTGTGAGGGGGACTCCGTGCCGGGCCTCTCCTGGGCGGATAGATGCGGTCTTCTGTCTGTGTCCTCACGCAGCCCTCCCTCCGTGCCTGTCTTTGTGTCTTCATTTCCCCTTTTCGTGAGGACAGTCATACCGCATGAGGGCCGCCCCGATGCCCTCATTCTAACTTGGGATGATGTCTCTGAAGAGTCTAGGTCCAGCCACAGGTCCTGGGCATTCAAGCTACAACATAGGAATTGGGGGAGGGGGGCACATAACTCTCAGGGAGTGGGCGAGGGCCCAGGAAGGCTCAGGCCAGGCCACAGACCTTCGTCCCCTTGCCAGGCCGGTGTTCTGAAAGGGCACTCTCGGGGGTCCGGCCTTCAGGGGTGCGATGGGAGGGGAGGCGGGGCAGGAAGGACCAGGTGAGCAGTGTCACCCCTTCGTGGGCAGAGGTCGGGCGCGGCCGCGGCATCCAGTCTGGTTCTCCGCAGAGGCTGAGCGCTTACCTCTGCAACCTTCCTTCCCTCTCTTGACTGTGGCGCGGCTGCGGCCTCCTGCCCGCTCTCCTCACCCACCAGATCGCAGTGGAGGTGACCAAGTCCTTCATCGAGTACATTAAGAGCCAGCCCATCGTGTTCGAGGTCTTCGGCCATTACCAGCAGCACCCGTTCCCCCCGCTCTGCAAGGACGTGCTCAGGTCGGCAGCCCTGGGTTGGGCGGGCTAGGGGCCCCCTTCCCAGACCTCATGCAGCCCCCGCAGGGCATGGGCCCTCTCCACCTCCCAGCCAGCGAAGCCGGCCTTGCCCCAGACAGGCCTGGTAGGGCGGCTACAGGGCCCGCGGGCCTCAGATGCCCGTTTTTCCTGATGATGGGGCGCCTGGTTACCCAAGGTCAGCGGGACCCAGAGCAAGGCAGAGACATCCCTTCGGGGATGTTTCTTAAAGAGTACCGCCGTCTGGGCCCAGACCCCTGCGGGTATGGGCCACGTCCCCAGGCCAGGGAAGCGGGCGTTGGGCGGGAGGACGGCCCGGGTGGCCCACGGGGAGACGGCTCCTGCTGCCTGCTCACCACTCCACCGCCCAGCTGTCCCTTCCCCCGGAGTCCTTGGCCCCCAGACTGAGTGACGGAATATCTTTCCGTCTCCCTCATTCCACGTGACCTCTGGGGGACTCTGAGGGTAGGCCAGGGTGTCCCTTCTGTGGTCCCCACCCACCCACCTGGGCGCAGAGAGAATGGCACGTGGCTTCTGTGGCATGGGAGCCTCTGGCCACCTCTGCCCCCCTCTCAGCTGTCCTGGGGGACCCGGAGCTAAGTGGGGCGTCCCGGGTGGTAGAGGAAGAGAAAAGCCATGAGAGGTACTGGTTCCAGGGGGGGGGTGGCCCCAGGAGCCTCGTCTGTCCTCGGGAGGGCCAGGGGAGGCTCTGTCCTGGAGGCCCCTGGATGGAGAACCAGCATTCTCGCCCCGTTCTCCTGGACTCGTGGGACCACCCAGGCAAGGTCTGGGGTCCCCAGGGGCCCTCCTTCCCCATCCAGGCTGCTGGAGGGCCTGAGCCCGGGGCCCTTCCTAGGCCCTGGGAGGCAGGGGTCAGGCGGAGGCTTGGAGCGGACCGTGTCGTGACCGCCCTCTGCCAGCCTCCTGCCCTTGGCTCCCTCTCCAGCTGGAGGGTCCCAGAGACGCCCCCTGCAGCCGCCTCACAGAGGCTCTTCTTCCTCCACAGCCCCCTGAGGCCCTCACGCCGCCATTTCCCGAGGGTCATGCCGCTGTCCAAGCCAGGTAGACAGAGCCCTCCTGAGTCCACCCCCGGGGGAGGGAGGTGCCCACGCTACCCTGGACGCGTTCCCCGCCCCGGGCCTCCTTCCTGAGCGTGCCCCCAGGACGTGGCAGGTCAGGTCTCCCATCAGTGGCTGCCTCTCTCTCTCCCGTCCTCCCCCAGTGCCTGCCACCAAGCTCAGCACCCTCGCGCGGCCCTGCCCGGGGCCCTGTCACTGCAAGTACGACGTGCTGGTCTACTTCGAGATCTGTGAGCTGGAGGCCAACGGCGAGTGAGTCCCAGCGCCTGCCGGGGTCGGCAGGGCTCCAGGTGGTGCACGGGGGCACTCTGGGCTCCGGGCCGGACCGCCTCACCTCCGCCAGAAGGCGGGGCTGCTTTCCCTGCCGTGGCCCTTCGGCTCCTCGGGCGGGGGGGCCGCGTGTGTCTGCGGGGCGGGGCCTTGCCTCACGCATCTCTCTCTTCTAGTTACATTCCTGCGGTGGTGGACCACCGCGGCGGGATGCCGTGCATGGGGACCTTCCTGCTCCACCAGGTGCGGAGCGCTCCCCGGCCCTGCCCGCCTCGTGTCCCTGCCCCGCCCCATGCGACCCCCAGACCATCTGACCATGTCCTCTCTCCTGGTGCCTGGCAGGGTATCCAGAGACGGATAACCGTGACACTGCTGCACGAGACGGGCAGCCACATCCGCTGGAAGGAAGTCCGAGAGCTTGTCGTGGGTGAGTGAGACGGGTGGGGGCTGCCTTGGGGGCTGGGGCTGGGCCGCTGGGAGCAACGGGGCCCCACCCTCTCCGCCCCCCACCGTCCCGGCCAGGCGGCTGACTGCTAACCACAGCTCTGCCCCTGATGCCGTGTGACTCTGGCTAAGTCGCTTAACCTCTCTGTGCCTCTCTGAAGAGCCTAGGAAAGGAAAGCTCGGACTAGGGCGATGATTCCAAATTTCTATGCAATCACCGTGTCAGCTCACCAGGGCTGCCGTGACACAGCACCACAGACTGGCAGCTTAAACAGCAGAAAACGATCCTCCCGTAGACCTGGGGGCCTGAGTCTGAGGGTGTCAGCAGGTGGCCATGCCCCCTCTGAAGCCCGTAGGGGAGAGCCCTTCCTGGAGGTTGGTGGGGAATGTCTGTCCCTCTTCGGCTTGGGGACCCGCCGGCTTTAATGCTTCAACTTCACGTGGCCTCTTCCTATAGAAGAAGCTACATTCAGGCCTGCTTACTCCATCGTGACCCCATCTCAACTGATTATACTTGCCGAGACCCTGTCACCAAATAAAGTCACGTTCTGAGGTCCTGCAGGTTAGGACTTCAACACAACCGTTTTGGAGGGAGGACACAGTTCAGCTCCTGGTGGTCACCATGGATCTTAGACGGTTTTCTTCCACGACCTCATGCTGTGAACTCTTTGGTCTACTAGAAGAGTTTCTTGGCCGAGCTATAGACTTTTTCCAGTTTTCACTCAAGGACATGGACACCTGTCCGCCCCTGCCCTTCCTGGATTGATGGATCCCTCTGGAAACCCCATCCTGGGCATTTCTGTGGCCAGAAGGGTAGCAGCTGCAGGGTGCCGTCCCTGGGGCTTGGAGAGGGGGTCCCAAGGGTGCAGGAGCGGGGACATGACCGTGAGACCCATCGTGCTATGCCCGAAAGCGCAGAGCTGTGGACAAGGAGGTTCTGGGGGCCCAGGACAGATGCTTTCGTTTTAGACGTCTCGTATCTTTTTTCACTCACACGGTGAAAGGCTGGAGCAGGCGAGCCAATCCTCCTCTCAGGTGTCGTTTAGGGCCGGCGTGGACAGTGAATCGACTTAAGGAGTTAGCAGACACCCGGCCGGCGCGTGGACCGGATGCAGGCAGGAGTGTGTGTCCCGTGTGTGGGCAGAGAAGGGGACCCGGTGAGAGGATCTGGGGAGATGCTGGTGTGAACGCCAAGGCCCCTGCTCCACCTTGGGGTGCTTGGGCGGTGCCTCTCTGGGCTTCATAAGCCGCACGGACCGGCGAGCGGGCTGGGAGCGAATGGGCTCCGGGCCGTCGCCCTTGCAGGCAGAGCACCTGGCCAGGCTCGGAAGGCGCAGAGAACCTCTGCGGAGGCGCGCGCTCCAGGGGCCGAGCAGGGATGAGGCCGGCACTGTGGCGAGCTTTCTTCCGGCAGCCGAGCCGTGGGGCACGCCACCTCCAGCCACGGGGGCACGTGCTGGAGAGCGCTTCTCGGGGAGCCCACACCTGCCTTCTCCCAGAGCCCAACAGTTGCAAGAAGGTTCCAGGAAGTGGGGCCAGCAGCTGCTGCGTGTACAGACACAGAATCCTGGCCGGGTCCCGGGCTCTGCCTCACCTCTGTGTGGGGGGCGGCACACAGGGCTTGAGGAGAAAATGCAGCGCGTGTGTGTCCCCTGAAGAAGCAGAGTATTCAACCTAATGCTACCAGGGCAGGAAATTACTAACGGGGTCGCCAGCGGGATTCCTGACTCGCAGCGGCTAGGACCACCACCCCAGTGTGGGCGGCTTAGAGGCTTCTGTTGGAAATGTGCCCTTCAGGGAGAGATCTGTGGCCCAGATAGTGTCCTCCCTCCCTCCCTCCCTCCCTCCCTCCTTCCCTCCCTCCCTTCCTTCCTTTCTCTCTTTCTCTCTTTCTTTCTTTCTTGAAGGGAAAATCTCTCCTTATCTTGCTAAGATTTTCTTTTCCAACGAGAGCCTGTACATTCTAGGCCGAGTGTTTGGAATCTATCAGTTGGGTGCAAGAGAGACAGACCTTGAGAGTGTCTAAGCTGAAAAACTTCAATTACGGGAGGAACGGCGGTGGAGTGATCCACAGGGCGCTCACGCCCGGGCTGGTAGCAGACCTTGCCATGGGCTCCCTGTCCGGCGCTCTTGTGGGCACGTGGGGAACCCGCTCCCTGACGCAGTGTCACGGTTCCGGAGGCCCCGCCCAGGCAGGGACCCGGCACCCCCTTCCGTTATCCTGAGAGGTGACTGAGCCCATGGCCTTTCCCTTAGGTCGGATTCGAAACACACCAGAAACTGACGACTCCCTGATCGACCCCAACATCTTGTCTCTCAACATCCTCTCCTCCGGCTACATCCACCCGGCCCAGGACGACCGGTGAGTCCCCTTGGGGTGACAGTGGGTTCTGTTCCCAGCTCCCTGGAGACAGGGTCCAGGTCAAGACCCAGGGCGTGCCCTCAGCCGACCTGGCTTTGTAGGGTCCGGTACGTGTCCAGCCCCAAAACTTTTGGGCCTTCCTTTCCGACACCTCCGGAACAGGTGCGGGACGGGCAGGCTCGTGGCCTCCACGTCCTTTGGTGTGTTTGTCTACACGTTGTCCCATCACTGGCTCTCGCATTCGTCCGGCCTGTCCATTCGGTCACCTGGTGGAGGGGCAGCGGGACTCGGGGGTTGGTGAGCTGGGTTCTCTCCTCAGGAGTTTTGGGGGGGCAACACGGGGTGGTGCGCAGACAGGCGGTCCTGAATCTCCCCGACCACACCGCTGTGGGTGAGTCTGGGGCTCTGGCCGGGGTCCCTCGGGCTGGGGGTCCTGGATCCGCCAGGCACCATTTGGCACGCGCTCCTTGTCGCTGGGCTATTCCTTTCCGAGCTTGTGGTTAATGGCCAAGACTCAGCAGCCCGGGCAGCCCCAGCCCCGCCACATCTGGGACGATGGTCGGGGTATGCAAGCCCCCAGGGACACCCTTAGCAGCCCCCGACAAGACAGCCTTGTTGAGGCTTGCCGGAGGCGAGGGCGCGGGAGGCGAGGGGTGGTATCTGAGGACTGACGGGGCGGGGGGCGGGGGGAGGGCAGCTCCTAACTGCCGAGAGCTGCCCTGTTGGTGGGGACGTGGGCTTGGCTGTGTCTGAGATGCTGCTTTCTAGGGACTTGGGGGAAGGATGAGGTGTTCCAGAGTGCTGGATGGCCGCTGCGGAGGGCTAGACCTGGCCCAGAGGCAGAAGCTGAGAGTTGACCCTTGGAGTTCACACTCTGGGTGTCCTCACGGGTTCCTGTGACAGCGTCTGCAGGAAAAACTTTGAGGGCTTGGTGTGCTCGGAGGGGACAGGGGACCCCACACTTGCAATGAAGGCTGGGGTCCGTAAACGTAAAAGGACCTGAGGGAGTCGTCCTATCCTGACTCCCGGGTCCAGACGGAGCCTGGGTTCATCATGGACACCCCAAGGAGTGGGCTGTAAGGGAAGCACCCTCAGTGTGGGCAGTTGGGGGGCTAGGAGTCCAAGACCCCCAGAGGGGCAGCCGTGACTCCTAGCCCTGCCCGGGAGCCACCCAGAAGAAACTCCGCTGCCCTCATGTCCAGGGGAGGGAGGAGTGGGATGCAGAGTGCCGAGGGGGTTCTCATGATGTGCAGGCCGGGGGGCCCCTCTGAGGCCGTGAGAATGTGTCAGAGGAGGCCTGATCCCCAGCCACACGGGGCTGCCTGCAGGGATGTGGGGACCGGGACCCCAGAGGGGAGGGTGGCCCCGGGACCGCCTGTGCCATTGGGGAGGGGTCTGTCTGCCATGCTGAGTGACCTCAGCATCCCCCTGGCCTCTGACCCTTCCTTTGCCCAGGCAACTTCTAGCTTTGGGGGCAGAAATGGAGTGGGGGCAAAACCAAGCGAGTGGGGGTGGGTATGTTCCCTCTGGGCCTCCCTCCCTGCGCGGTCTCTCTACACTGAGGACCGTGTTTCTGGGTCTTTCCATTGTCCCGCCAGCCTGGCCGAGGGGCCCTTGGCTCTGGGCTACGTCCCAGGGTAGCTTAGGAGGCTGTGGCTCCCGGCTGGACCTCGGGTCAGCAGGGCTGTAGCTAAATAGGTCCACCCCTGTCCCTAGAGGCCCGAGGACCCGTCACTGATGGGGCTTTGGTTCCGCTTCCTGGGAGCTGTGGCAAGTGAGGCTGGCCTCGGGGCGGCTCTGGGGTCCACTGGCCCTGTGTCTTAAGTCAAAGCCCTGGTCCAAGGGTAGAGGAAGGCCCGTCCACGGGGCAGGACCATAGACCTTGCCAGAGCTGCTTGGGCCTCAGGCTTGGCTCCTGCCCACGCCAGTATAGCCCCAGGACTGCTCTGACCCCCCAGCTTTGCCCCCAGCAAAGTCCCGGGGACCCTCCTCACCTGGCGGCCCAAGGCAGGTGCCATCCCGAGGCTCCGCTGGCCAAGCCAGCGGGCCCCTTCCCGAGAATCTTCCTCTTCCCCAACCCTGGCTGATGTCCTCAGAGCCCTGTGATGGGCCGCTTGGGTGCGCCCCGCTCCCCCTGGAGACGCTGGGGCTCAGAGACCCCAGGCCTGGCTTGGGCCGAGGGGCTCGGGCTGTCCTCATGCTTTGCCACGACCTCGGCCTCCTCCGCCGCAAGTCCCCACGCTTTGCTCAGAGTGGGCCTGTTGCCGCAGACGGCTGCTCTCCCGCTGCCCCTCCCCTCGCTGCCGCTGCCCTGCCGCCCCGCCGCCCTGCCCCGCCGCCCTCACTAACCTGTGATTGTTTGTGTTTTGCAGGCAGTTTCTTGATTCGGACATGCCTAGGTATCATTTGTGCCCCCTTGGTTTTATTCCAGCCTCTCTCCTTCCCCAGACCCACAGCCCTGACTTTTAATTTCGGCTTTTTGATCCCTTCTACACTCGCTCCCCTTTCCCTCCTGTTTCTCCGTTTTCTTCCGTTTTCTTTCCTCGGAATACTTTTTTGATTTTCTCTGTTGCTTCCTCTTCCCACCCCCTCCCTCCCTCCCTCTTGGCTGAGCTCCTTCCCGTACTCTTGATTTTGGCTGCATCCGTAGTTTCCCGCCCGCCCCTCCGTAGACACTGGCTGGCTTCCTGCTCCTCCCACCCCTGAGCCTTGCCCGCCCCGCGCTGACCCACCCCTGCCGGAGCAGGAGCCGGTGCCCCCCCCCCCCCCCCCCCCCCCCCCCCCCCCCCCCCCCCCCCCCCGCATGCAGGCTGGCCGCACCAGCCCCACTCCCTGCAAGGTGAAAGAGAAAAGGGGGAGGAGGGGCCGGCGCTGGGCCCGGGACGGGAGGGCAGCCGGGTACCGGCCCTGCAAGGGACCTCTGCACCATACCCTCCGCTGCTGGGCGGTTGCCCGGCCAGGCTGGCCACCACACACCCTGTTTGCAAGTAGGTGGGCGGTGAAGCTGGGAAGGGCCCAGTAGGTCTCGGGACTCACTCAGGTGGCCCCAGGTCCAAACCCCCCGGAGGCGGGGGTTCCCGGGTAGGGGATGCCCTCTCTGAGTTGAGTGGGGCCCCTGCCAGTGCCCACCGGGTGCAAGGGTCAGTGAGGCCCTGGGCACAGACAGCCTCAGAGTTCCTAATCAGGACCGTCCCTGAGACCCAAGTCTGTTCTGGGCAGAGGGTCAAGGTCGTCTCCCTCCGGGTCCTGTGGACTGTGGTCAGAGCTCCGTGGTGGCGGTCTCGCAGGACAGCCGTTTTGAAAGGCGAAGTGAGCGGTTGGAAGGCTTCCGGCAAACGTTTGAGCCTTGAGGCTGCATGGTAGCTTGAGCCGGGTAAGGGTGGTGCCTGCTCCTCTTCTGGACGGAGCCCCAGGGTGGGGCAGGGGGCGCGGCAGGACTGAGTCATGGCCGTGAGGGTCGCTGTGAGTGTGACCCGGGCACTTGGAGCCTAGGCCCCAGGGAGGGCGGCAGGCTGTGGTCCCGCCGGTGTGACCCTCGGGGCGCACTCGAGCATCGCACCTGTTGGATGAACCCATCTTTTCCAGAGCCTTCTGCGGGCCCTCTGGGGACCCTGTCAGGGGAGAACTAGGGTGGCAGTGGCTGCCCCAGAAAAGGGGGCACGGCCGTGCCGGCCGGAAGGGACCCGTCTCTCCGGGCCATGCGCTGGAGGAGGTCGGGCGGGGAGCCGGGCTGGTTAAGGCCGTGTCGCTGCTCTCAGAAGGCTCTGGGCTGGGAGCCCCTGGCTCGGGTTCCTCCCCTGGGCGGGACCCAAGTTAAGGGCTGTTTCCTTGACGAGTGGAGACCTCCAGGCCGGTCGGTGTGAGGGCTCGAGGGGGCGTGACTGTTTTGTCCACGTTTGAGCTGCCACAGCCAGCGCAGTAGGATAGAGGGGCGCTTGCCGGTCCTCAACCCGCCCCCCAGACACAGACCTTCCGGAAGGTTCTGGGGAGAGATAATGCCCCGTGGCCAGGGGGAGGTGTGGCACCAGGAAAGGGAAGCAGTTTTCCTTTCTGGCAGGGCTTTCTTTGCTAGCCCCCCAGCGTCATGAGGCCCTCACCCCTGCACCTGAGCGGGGAGCACAGTCCCCCCAGTTCCAGAAGAGGGCTCACTGGCCCCAGTGGGCTTGGCCCGTAAGAGGAGGCTTAGGGCACTGAGAGCGAAATGGGGGTCAGAGCCCCAAGACTCGCACTTGTGCCTTCCCCGCAGGGCCCGGCTCTACGGGGCAGGGAGCCACCGCGGTGGCGGGACCGGGGACTGGCGCGACCGTGGGAGGTGGTGGAGGGAGGGTCTTGTCCCACGTGTGCGGCGTAGGGCGGGGACCCGGGACAGCCTGGCAGTGCCCTCCTCTGGCCGAGTGAGTGTGGACAGGTGGCAGAGCCTTCGGGAACCTTGTTCTCCTTCCCCCTTAGAAAGGGGATAATTTCGCCCCTGCCTGAATGGCCGTGACACACACGGGCTGCGACGTGAAGCTCTGGGCAGGGCGGCTTGCACACAGCTTTGCACCCATGGGTCTCCTGCTTGTCACCCGTCACCTGTCACCCTCGTCCCCTCATCCCTCACCCCCGACCGCTTAGCCCTCACCCCGCATCCC